CTAAGTTTTTAAATCATTCATATGGTCCCATCTTGTAGGTTAGGCACGTATGGAAGTATATATATATATATATATATATATATGTATATATGGTAAGTTGAACTACTTTACATAATGCTATATATTAGAATAATTTTTTAAAGTATCACTTAAGAGGTAGAACAGTAAGAAAATATTACTGCTATAGTATTTGTCAATTACAGCAAAGTAGTAATAGAAGTGCTAGAAATTTAATAGACAGTTACCATGATGAACTGGCCCTGCGCTCTACTTACCAGTATAACTTACTGTTTGTATATACCTACAAATACCAATGAAACTTATAGTCCCGGAGATAGCGCACTTTTCACAGAATTCGAATGAAATAAGAAAATATTGATTTGGTTAGCAAACAAGCTGATTAGCACAAGATACATGAATCCATGTGATAGTGTAAGAAGAAAGTAATGTGAAATTGAGAAAATCAGTGAAGGTTTATCAAAGACAAACCCTAAACCCAGTATCACTACAACAATAGTATATTCTGACGACGGGGTTACACAATTTAATGGAAAAAATCCCGAATTCTGATACAATTCAGGATAATATCTAATCACATCAATTTTCGACAGAGTGTTTAAACATGTCCTTCATTTTCGGGCAAGTTCAGTTACTTTTCAAGAGCTGGCTTGTAGGGATTTGATTTTTCTTTCAAGTTTGCCCATGGACTGATACCAGTTAGAGAACCAGTAAAAAGCAGCGTGTACTGGACAAATGTTTCGTCCTAGTCTGGGACTTATTGGTAGTACGCACCCACCAGGCTTCAAATCCAGGACCTTCCAGTTACAAGGCAAGCTCGCATACCATTCAGCCACTGAGACCCAATTCAAGAGCCCACTAATTTTAACTTCTACCAATTTGTGATCTCTAGCGTGATCACCAGCCAATCTTATCGGCAAGCATTTGTCATCACTTTCGACAGGACGGACCCAACTGTTCACGACTTCTCACTAGAATACCAGGAAACGCCATCTACAAGCTTGCCTTGTAACTGGAAAGTCCTTGGTTCGAAACCCGGTGGGTACGTACTACCGATGAGTCCCAAACTAGGGAGAAACAGCTGTCCAGTAGTCCCTCGTCTTCACTGATTCTCTAACTGATATCAATCGGTGGACAAACTTGGAAAACAAGTTCAGCTACTGTCGCAACAACATCAGAAGCAGTATGAAATCTTCCAAGTTAAGCTGATAGAAATACTCATTAATAAATTATCTTTGCAGTTAACTGGTCATCCCCACATGCTGAGACCACTGATTCCTTTATCCAATCAGTCACAGAAGTGAAGAACAACTTATCAGTGGATGCACAGTTAGGTTTCAATTAAAACTATACAAATCGATGTCAAAAATCATATTGATAATCTGAATCCTAGCAATGCATCAAATTCTAGTGAAGATGCTGTTTGTGAAAAAAATCAAGAAAAATGATCAGTTCAAGCTGAGAGAGAGAGAGAGAGTAAAGGAAAGAATTCTTCATATGATCACCCTTATTTTATTTAACAAGAAAAGTTTTAATGAAGTCATCTTGTTTCATCAGTTACAGTACGAAAAATGCGTGAAATCCGCTCTTGCTACAGTACCAGAATTCGTCTCATAAATGTTTCGTCAAAAACAGTGTTCAAGTTGCAACTGTAGCTGAAGTCCTAATCAACAGCGGAAAATGTGTGAAGAAGATCGAAATGAGTTCGAGGAATCCCTGCGATGACTGTATTGTTACCAAACAATCAATTATTATTATATTATTTCGTGAGGGGGGAGAGGTATCACAGAGGAACCCTCAACCTAGTAATACACCTTCATAACAAAATAATAAATTGTGAATAAACTCTATGAGTATTTCAATTGTGAAAGACTATATTTTTGAAGAGTGACCTGTATAAGTGTGAATTTTGAGAAGACAAAATAATACTAATGAAGAGAGAGAAAAAAATTAGGTAGAATTTACTTGTCGGGTGATGAGATAGATTAAGTCCATTGCAAGTGTAGTGATTGAACGAACTTCTTCTGTATGCAGAGTGCAGGGTTTAGCAAGTGAATCGCCATTGCTTCTGTAGTTTGAAGAAGTCTGATTCATACACCTTTAGGAAGACTACTTCTTACTCTGTAGACGACTTTGAAGTTTGTTTGGGGTGCAGCTTGGTGTCCAGATTCTATGAGATGTTCTAAGATGGGGCTGCGGGGACATCGTTTTTCTCCTTTGTAAAACCATGTTGGTAAGCGTTCGGTGATACACTTGGAAAGCGAACGCCGGGTACGGCCGACATACCTGGCTCCACATGAGCAGGTGAATTAATAAATACACATTGATGCGGCCAGCAGTGGTAGCTTATCCTTCACGTTCACATGAATCATAGGTTTTGTGGAGAAAGTTAGTCGTAGTTCAGCTGCGAAGAAGGTCTTCTTGAGTGAGCGAGACAGTCGATTTTTCAGTGTTTCCGCAGATATATCTCTATTGAATTGAAGGTTCATATAAAGTGGTTTCTTCGGGACGTTAACCATGGGCGGTTTCTGTGTTCTAGGATTCACAGATTTTGCAATAAATCGTTCTGGGTAACAATTCTCGAGGAGGATTCTCTTGAGATTGTCCAGTGCATCTTCTTTGATGTCCGGGGTACAAATCCTGCGAACTATGTAGCTGAGTGAACAGATCAGGTTTCGTTTGGTGTATAGGAATACCCAACTATGAAAGTTAGTAAGCTGTCCGTTCCATGTCGACTTTCTGTAGATAGATGTTTTCAGTGTTCCATCCTGTTCTCGGCCGTACCCAGCGTTCGCTTTCCAAGTGTATCACCGAACGCTTACCAACATGGTTTTACAAAGGAGAAAAACGATGTCCCCGCAGCCCCATCTTAGAACATCTCATAGAATCTGGACACCAAGCTGCACCCCAAACAAACTTCAAAGTCGTCTACAGAGTAAGAAGTAGTCTTCCTAAAGGTGTATGAATCAGACTTCTTCAAACTACAGAAGCAATGGCGATTCACTTGCTAAACCCTGCACTCTGCATACAGAAGAAGTTCGTTCAATCACTACACTTGCAATGGACTTAATCTATCTCATCACCCGACAAGTAAATTCTACCTAATTTTTTTCTCTCTCTTCATTAGTATTATTTTGTCTTCTCAATTGTAATATTTTACATTTTCAATTTTTTTGTTTTCTACCCCACCCGATTTAAGTGTGAATTTAGTTTCAATTCTGTGTTACTACTTTTCAGTGTTAGTTCTCACACTTAAGAAACAAACCCTAAGGTGACTTGTTTCCGCTTATGACATACATTCAGTGTATAGTTTACTTATACACCAGATGTATTATATATATTCATAAAAGATACTAAACTCTTGCATGAAAACTCATGATGATTATATATGCGTAGTACACAAAAGCATAGCAAACAGTCTTGAAAATTGAATTGAGTATAAAAATGTTGTAAAAGAGTGAGGCGAATGTCTTAACTAGACTGACCTTAAATGAACCCGAAATCAACTATAACAACTAGAAGAAGAAGAACAAGAAGAAGGAGAATAAAAAAAGATATGCAAAAACTTAGACTAGACAGATTGTGTGGTATAAGGTTAGCACGAAGAAAGGCGAAGACAATCAATGATTATACAGCACCACACAGCAGAAACTAAAATGTTACTTTTTTTGTTGAACTAATAATTAGAGACACTTGATGAAAAAGTATTGAAACACATTCAGGTCATTTAGGCTAGCCATTGGACAAACATTTAAGATGGAATTTTACACTTCTAAAAAATACGTGTATGTATATATAAATAAGAAGCCTACAAGTATCTTTAAACTGTAAGGATCGATCTATTCATTTTTGTAATGTGGTGCCACATAAAAGAATAAACAAACAAACCAACAGACAAAAAATATACTTGAAATGCTAAATCTTGTGTTTTTTAATTTTAGACTACTACGTGATTTACATTTTTGCTTTTCGGATAGTGATAAGACACTAGTGAACGTCGCACGAGTCATCGTCATTAACAGAGAACACACACTCACACGCACACAGGTACAGAATTTTACTCTATACAATTGACTGAAGAAGAAGCATATGTTGGTTATGATAAAGCACAGTCTTCTTTCGTTTAAAATGCTGCTATTTCCTTGTGTTTCTAAATTACATGTGTGATCAAACATCAGTGATAGAATGTTTTAGAATCAACCTCTTTTAGAAAACGTGAAGACCACTCGAGAAACGTTCGGTGATAATAAATAAGATACAAGAGCAAGAGAGAACTTTCTTCCCCAAGGAAGTGTCTGCAAAAGTACAAGTATAGAAGCCAGACAAAAGTAATCACTAGTTAGTTGTGTGACATGAAGGGTACTCTAGTTCTACACTGATTTTGAATGGAAATCCAAAAGTTGTCATTACATTGATGGGAAGAAGTATATAACATAAGTAAAGACACATATCGTGGAAGCGAATGCGTTACTCTAGATTCACAAGTGACACACGTTAAGGAAAATATAAACTAAATATTAAATTTTATTATAGCTTGACTCCACATAATATTTTTTATACATGTATGGAATTTTTAGTAGGTGAAATCGGTAGCCCAAAATTAAGCAGGCCAACCATTGATATCAGGTGTGCATCGGTCGGGGAACGAACCCCGGGCCATGTGCATGGTCGGTGACCGTCCTAACTCTGTGCCACTGACGTACATATGACCTTCGGAAATCAAATGAACCTGTGAGGTCTGTTGGTGCCAATAAAAGCTCCTTATCGCAATATGATTCTTTGAATGTAACAAAACCAATTGTGCTGTGGATTTCCTGTGGGTAAACACATATTTCTAAGTATACACACTAATATATATGCTCAAAGGCTTATTAAAACAGAATACATCACATGTAAACAAGTTGTAAGAGAATGAACAAAATGATGACACTGAGATGCATTAACATTATAAAGGACTAAATGATGGACAAATATTCACTTACCCTCAGTTTCGAATTCACTTTGATAAGTTTTAACTATACGGTGCTTATTTCTATCAATATTAGAAGATGAAATGGATGAAACGATAACATTACGTTCTTGACAGTTGTACCTACAGTGTGAAGAAAAGCCAGGGTAATTAGATTTTTTAAGAAAATACACACTTTTAACGCTGAGAAGTTTTTGAAATGAAACGTATTCAGATAGTTTTAAAAAAAGGAATGAATATAAGCTACAGGCATTATAAGCCATACAGGTATACATACACTTTTTATATATGTAGAAAAATACACCTTGGAGATGTCATTGTTCAAGCCAAAACTATATGCATCTGCCTCCACTGTTGAACAACACATAATAAAACGTTAAACCTGTTTCAATATACTCATGGATATTCAAACTACGCTCACTGTTATAGTGATTACTTTGATAAGGCTGCAAAAGCATGAAGCCATGAAAGTTTATAAGAAATATTCATTGGGTAAATACAATACTTAAATTAAAATACTGAACACTTTCGATATAGGTGTAATAAGAAAAAAAGAACCAACATACTACTGAGACAAAGCAAAGTTCATATTGAGTGCTATCGTGCAAAGGAAATGATACGTTGATAGGAAAATGCTGGTAGTACAGAGTGCTTTCTAAATGATTTTACTCATTTTCGTGTGAACCAAAATAAACCAACGCTCAGGGTGTTAGTAAAAAATGAGAGACATTTAGGCATGTAAATGAGTTTACTTAAATTGCCCAGAAAGAGCAGGATAAATGCAGGTAATCTCATGTCAAATGAAAAGGTTCGCATGAATATCCAAGACTCATTTGGAATACTCTTACTTAAACAACTTGTAAAACAAGTGTGAAAAATGATATAATAAAGACCAACTGAATTGTGGAGCTACAAACCATACTCCACTGTGCCAATCAGAAACAATATGATGACTCAATTAAATGTCGCAGATACTTTTGAAAAGTTTCGTCTTTGAAATATTTGAATTACAGATGAACTGGTGCTAAAGTGAGGTACAGTGTGTAGACAAATCAACGTTTACCAATTAACATGTGACAGGGGTGAAAATAAAGCCTATTACGAGGCCTTCATGTGAATAGTATAAAGAACGTCAAAGTCAATATTCCAGCTGTGGTGAAAGGTTGATATAACACCTTTAGAACAGTCAAACGTAACGTCCGATATGATAATAGCATTTCTCTAAGCACATAATGGAAAATCACTCAGAATCAATAACTTAAGGAAATACAAACCATAACTGACCGCCTCCATTCTATCTATTTAATTCTATTGAGATGAAAGAGCTGCGAGCTCGTTTCGCAATAACTTATATCCTCACTTTTGTGATAGTTGGCAGTTTAAGAGGAAAAGAACAGAAGCATCAAGATACTAGTCAATGACAATCCCCTACACAAAAGTTGCATTAGTTTATAGTGTTAGTATTGATAACAGTACAGATGAGAAAAGACAGAAACACACAGAGAATAAAATCAATGGAGAAATATGAAGGGAAACAGAACAGCTGAGGCTATTTCACTGAGAAAACCTGAAAACTTTGTAATAATGATAGTAATAATGAAGTAACTAAATTTTATCATTGAGATTGCACCACTAACAGATCAAGGACTCCAATCACCAACACGAAAATTGCAAACGCTACTCATTAGCCGTTAGTATCACAAAAAGAAACTGCGGAAAAAGGACGTCATACAGTGCAACGCAACAGCGAAGACTTTGAAAACAACAGAATGAACAAAAGCATTTTTATACGATAATACAGTATTTTTGTGCTAAATTACATTAATAGCAGCAGCACCACGACAGTTAATGATATCAAATCTGGACGACAACTGAGGAATTGCATATCCATGCACACACCATCCATAGACAAACAAATCTTAAAGCGATATAACGGCTTTCCATTTCAAGGTGACACATTATAAATTGACGTTTTTCGCTAAGCCAACTAGACTTCTCATTATTTGTATGAATGTTACGTAGTTTCTCGTTCGAGTAACATTACATAATAGTGTCCAGAGAATGTTTAGCTACAACATAGAAGCAAAAGGTTTAGACTTACTCCTAATACCCAGGACACAGCGACAACCGACCCATAAACTTGCACTCAATTCGTGAATCAGTACCCTATAATGATTTCGTTAAACTTAATTCTGTCCAAACGAGATGCTAATCTAGCTGGCGTACCAAGTAATACAAAAAGATGGTTCCATGGGCATAACGCAGGTATTTACCACCTCGGTCAGTGCATGCTGACAATTTCATCAAATGAAATGTTTTCATGGCTTCCTCCTACGCCTAACCACAGTTTCATTTTCTCTAAGAATTACCCACACGTTATACAAGAAGATGTGTGATTGAAGTTGATAACAGTATCATATCCTTCAGCCTAGCCACTCACTTCTCCAAGTCATTCAGTGGCCGAAAGAGACAATCCGACATCTTGCAAATAAGACATATGAACCCAATTAACAACACATTTGATCAACTCATTTTTCATACTTCCATTATTAATTAATAAAGAACTGTTCTGCAGTATATAACATTAAACAGATATATAATAAGCAGATACAGAAACAAGGCATGTATAAGAAACACATTCTCGGAAGCAGTCCATCCCCAACAGGATGACATGCACCATAAAGCATAGACTAATGAGGCACTTTTGTAGATAAGAGATGATAAGAGTTACTTCACCAGTGCATTTGTAACAAGACTAAAGAGAAACGGTGAAACATCGAAATGCTCATGTAACCGTAATGCTCAATTAGATTTTTTATAATAATCGAGTTTCATTGTTACGTATCAAACTGAAATAATACACCGTATAAGTTAAATGTGTTAGAAAAGTGATAACTTACACAGAAACACTGATTGAAGTGAAATTCGATAAAAAGAAATACAAATTTTATTAATTTTTTTAGGTATAACAAGAGGTTGAACTAAACAAAATTTACAAATACTTCAAGTAAATTTAATAATACAAAATTGTTATATACCCCTGATTTTGTCTAATCTTCAAACTAGATAACAACAGTCTGGATAAATTTCAACTATAGGGCTGAGGCAAATATTTATTAGAATGACTGGACAACCTAGAAGCTTCAACTCATACAATCAGTTAAATTAGTTGTTTATGGCCTTAACTTTCCGAGGTAAATAATGCTTGTATACAATGTGGTTTTGCACCATAAAATACTGAAATCCCTCACTGGCTGGGACCAATCTGTGCTTTGTCTTTATCTGCATGAGTATTAGGGGTCAGGAGAGATTGGAAATAGGTATTGGCATTGGTATTGTTCGATCTTCAAAGAAGTTACTTATTATCTTACAGTATTGAAACCTAGTCATATCATTTGTGGCGGTCATATTGATTATAACAAGGTTACTGAAACATTCATATCTAAAATCGTAAGGCTTTTGTCCTAACTTACTTAGAAGGTGCCTACCCACCTACGCTTATGGCTTGGTACAAACAAAAGCAATAGATGAAAGATACCGTCGACTAATCGGCTATTGAAGTTGGGGTCACTGCGCCCACGTATAAAGTTTTGGCAAGAAGCGATAAACCAACTGACAGATTTGTAAGGTATGACCATAACATGGTTTAAATACCTACTGCTAATTACATAAACACTTTTATGCCACTTAAAAAGCAATGATTATTGATTCGCATTTACTTTTGTGCGATGATCCACGATACATAATGAAAATACCAATTAAACAACAAGATTCTATTGGTGAATATAAAGAGAAACAAGCAGGCAACATTTTTTGAATGCACAGTTACCACTTGAAGCAGTGAACTGGTCTGACAGTGAATAAAGGTCTGACGATTACTCCTTTCAAACAACATAGTCGAACTATTTGGGTTGTAAATGAGGTTTAAAGAGAAAGCATGTGTCCAACATCTTCCCAATTTTAGAAGATAGAACTACAGATAGTTTGACTCTAACCTGTCAACAACCAAGCTGGTTAGTGTTTGTAAGGACATTTTACAAGTTATTCCACACTACAGAAAACAGTTAACTTTAAAGGAGTAGGAAACAATATAATTCTACAATGGTAGCGTCTAATACATAGAAATGTCCAGTGATGGCACGAAAAACCCAATGCAGTGACCTGCAGTACAAAATACTCCATTAAAGGATTTCGACAGGTTGATGAGTAAAGTATGAGGCCATATCCCATTTGAATTTGAAGTCTGTTAAAGCTGTTCTATATGATTTTTCTTCAAATTGTGATTTATCAACTTAAACGTGTATATGTCTTAGAACAGCATTTCTTGCAGAAATTCCAACTTTTCAACAATAGTACTCTCAGAACATATCTCTGTAGAAGCATCAGTTAGTGCCAAAAGAAAACTACAGTCCACCTACCACTAAATACGGTTTGTTACGTCTACAAATGTATCCAGTTGCATTTATTTATTCCTTAGAGTGACACTTTTGCGACTTTTTCGGAATAAACTAAATGATTTTGGTCAATTCCAACCAATCAATGGTGAGTTTTTGTGACTTCAGTGATATAGAGTGTTGTATCATATTTCAAAATATCTCCATGAGTAAGTGATGAACAATTTATTTAACGAATGGGGATTCAATGTAGACGTTGTGATAAACAGACAACGGTTATAGGAGCACTGAAAATCAAGAAGCTCTGAACAATTGTCTCTCCCTAGTTTGAGGATCTTTGACAAAGAATATCCTAGACGCTTTTGTTGTGGTTGTGTTCTCTGAGCTGGATGGTTAATTTGCGAAGCTTTCATTGCCCATTTTTTGTCCTTCACGTCCCCAGTGGAACATAGGGCTTCAAGCTAGTGCCATCCTTCAGATATCTGGGATCCATAATGCTCCCCAACGGCCAAGCGAAAAACGAAGTGAATGCGCGAATCTCCAACGCCCGGAATGCGTTTCTACAGCTGAGGAGCGTTCTATGGAGCAAGAGAGAAATCAGTCTCAGGACTAAAATTCGGATCTACCAAGCTTCCATACGACCCGTTCTGCTGTATGGCTGTGAAACCTGGCCTCTTCGCGCGGAAGATTTACGCAGACTCGAGGTATTAGACCATTGGTGTCTCAGGTACATTCTGCATGTTCGTTGGCAGGACAAACTCTCCAACGAAGAAGTGCGTCGGCGTTGCTACAACATCAACCAAATTCCAGTACTGGTCCAACAACGCCGCCTTCGGTGGTTTGGCCATGTTCTGCGCCGACCAGATGACGATCTGGTCAAATCAGTTCTAAATCCCTCGCCATTACCATCTTGGCGATGTCGCAGAGGCGGACAGCTGAAGACATGGCTTGGTACAGTCAAGGCAGATATGGAGTGCCTGGGGCTACAAACGGTCTACGGACTCCGTATGTGGAACAAGAATTGGATATCCCTATCACAAAACCTTGCTTCAGATCGCCGCGCCTGGGCAGCGATGATTCGAGACGTTCATGAAGCCGGCTCATCCTCCCGTAGGAGATAGCCGAAGTAAAGTAAAGTAAAGTAAAGCTAGTGGATTGAAGTTTCTGTAGCAGAGTTCAATTTTACGGGATACGGTTGCTAGCCTCATGCCCAACCTTTTCTCTTTACCAGAATTATTTCTGGCTTAGCGACGTAAAGGAGTGAGTCGGCCGGGGACTAAACCCCGGACCATGTGCATGGTCGGCGAGCGCCCTAACCTCTGTGCCACCGGTGCAGCTTTTAAGCTAATAAGATATCTTCAAGTATTGGTTTCATAGGGATTTTGTTGACTGCTTGAAGGACTTCATCATGAGATGACATCAGTTAGAGAGCTATTGAGAAATCTGGGAGTACTGGACAGCTGTTTCGCCCTAGTTTGGGACTCTTTAGCATTGCGCACCCACTGGAATTTGAACCCAGGACTTTCCAGTCACAAGACGAGCTCGTATATCATTAAGCCACTGGGACCCGATCTTACTGACAGAAGTTAGAATTCATGGACCATTAGATCGGGTCCGAGTAGCTTAATGATATACGAGCTCGTCTTGTAACTGGAAAGTCCTAGGTTCAAATTCCAGTGGGTGCGCAATGCTAAAGAGTCCCAAACCAAGACGAAACAGCTGTCCAGTACTCCCAGATTTCCCAATGGCTTTCTAAGTGATGTCAGCCTATGATGAAATCCTCCAACCAATCTAATAAAACATCACCATAATTTTTATGATAAACTGTGTTGGCAACCAAGAGTTACTAATTTGCAGTAACAATGCATAATACGATATGAAAGTCTAAGTGACCCAATATGCGTACTGCTCATCATTGACCTCAATACTCTTAAGTGTATGATATATGTATGTAAGTAGTTAGTTATACTATAACGAGTAAAACAGAAATCGGTAGGATGTGTAGAACCAGGTTAGTCAAGTGAACCAATAACAAAGAAAGAAAGAAAGAATTACAACGATATGAAAGTGTATTATAAAAATTTCAAGTAATGGTTGAAATGAACAGTTATGCATTATTATATTGTTGTTTTTTTTTTAAAGAACCACTTCATCACAATTGATGATATGAAGTTTTGAGTTTGCTTCCAAAGTATTTTAGTTAAGAGAAGAAATTACACTATATTAAGTGCATGTATTAAGAAGTCTACCAAAATTTTTATAAGCATACAAGATGTATTTAAACATGGAAAAAGGATTATGATAAATAAAAACACTGAAATCATGATTAGTTGTCTAAGCATATATCTTTTTAAAACAAAAACTACTTGAAAACATTACACTAACTGTCTAAATTCTAGATTGTGAGAGATTGGAAGGACAATGCGTAGGTAAGATCTACACTTAAACTCATTTATTTTAGCACCTGCCATCTAATTGAGGGGTACTTGGCCTCAATCCTTCACCAATCAATTTAATGTAAGATTGGTAGTCTGCTGAAATTACTGAGCTACTTGAACTTTCATCTAGCGTAATGTATCCAATTTTCTTTATATCTCGTTTTAATCATTTAATTATGTCGTGGCATCGACAAAAAAGTACTCGCGCATAACTGTAATTGGATTTTAGCATACTGGTGTGTAATTTCCCAAAAGAATGAATGTCAGAGGAGATTTTGGTTTGTGCTTCAGGCAGGACGGTGCCGTGTTAAATAATATACTACTGACTATTATTTTGTTTAAATTTTCTGAACTAATCCAATAAAATACGTTGAGAACTGTGTACAGTGTGTAGACAATTTGTCTAGAATAAAGCTGTAATTATTATTAGTGACTTGATACATGACGGAGTTTCCTGGAGTTCTAGTGAGAAGTCGTGACCAGTGAGGTCCATCCAGTCAGGTGAGAGGATGGATTTCCCACCGATGACACTGGTTGGTTGTCGCGCTGAACTACGAAATGATAAAAGTTAGAATTCATGGGCTGGCCATTGAGGAATCGGGTCTCAGGCGGTAGGTGCGTACTGACGATGATTCCCAAACTAAGATGAAACAGCTGTCCAGTTCTACAGTGCTGGTTTTCAATGGTTCTCTAACTGATATTAATTCGTGGTCAAACTCGTAGAAATTATTATTATTAAAAACTAAGCAGTCGATCTGTGAAATAAGTTTTCAAACGTAAATTTTAGCTTAAAGTTTGTTAAATAAACTGGCAACTGCGATCTTTCATTTTCTTTCATACACTTCGTGATATCTCATTTTCATCCGTAAGACACACTAACACGCTAATGTAAACCAAAAATCTATCGAATACTAGAGCCATTGCCAATGTAAACTGAAAATTCATAAAATATATATGTATAAAAGCAATCTCTTGATAAAAAAGGATCATAACATACTTTTTTTCTTCTGAATCACTTGACACAGATGAATTGTCATCTTCATCGTCCGAAATCTATTCAGATGTGAAAACAACAAGTTGAAGTTGATTTTAATTCAATTTAAAGGGTAGTTACCATTACATATTGCGTAAATTTTATTGAATGTATACCTTTACATAACATTTATCAGATACTGTAGTAGGTTTTCTAGGGGCATACAGCATTAGCAGTACATACAGTTATGATGGACTATTCAGCAAAAATGTGTTGATGAAAATAGCACTTTTATGAGGTATAGTGATTGTTTTTAGAAAATGGATTCACTTCCGCATTGTCTGTAAACACATGTGTCTCAGAAAGATAATTAGCACGATTTATGCCACTGCATAAATGCAAAGCAAGACGATACAAAAGTAATGTTGCCTTCTAAGTGGAAAATGGTGCTTCAGTATTCAGTTTTGAAGTTTAAGCAGCAGTTGTCTCTATAATTTACAGGGCAAGATTGATAGCCTCACGCCAAACCTCCCTTTGTTATGGGGCTTACCACCGGGTAGGCGAGTTTTAGGAATATGTTGGCGTGGATCGAAACCCTGACCACACGAGGCATGATTATACAATATTTCACCACAGAATAACCGATGCAGGGAAATGATGTTAATGCTCCAAAAAAGCTTAGGGAAGATGAAAGTCATAGCATCTGAGGGTAAACACCTACTGACGACAATAAAGATATGGTCTAGTTTTGAGTAATTACATTTGTGGAGGCAAAATAACACATATTGAAGTTGTCAAATTAAAGTTTCTCATAAAAGTCACCTCAATAATACTGTGAACTTGAACCCCAAAAATGACAACACATGGAGTATGATAAAACGGATGCATTCGACTTTGCCGGTGTCCAACTAACCGCATACAGCATGAATAATAAAATTATAAGTTTCCAGACTGTATATATCACGAACTTCCTGAAATAATTTGAGCGCCGAGTCAGATTGATTCATTGTAAATTATTTAAATTAATCCCAGCGTGTTTAAGAAAAAATCAAAACAAGATGTTTCGGAACATTTCGCCGTGTAAGCGACAGCTTCTTCAACAGAATCATAAAAGTTAAAGCTTTATTACAATTTTTGATATATTTTATTTCATTGGGGTTAAAATGTAAAGCAGTCATTATGAATGATCCTCGTGTAAAAATAAGTTGAAATATGAAGTTCCAAAAATTAAAAAATACTCCTCTTCCACAGCTCAGATAGCTAGAAAACTCTCATGCAATACACTCACCCTATTGATTAGTGCATCAGCGTGGATGTGGCTGTTGAATAACATCACCAATAAAGTTAGACAGTTTTAATAGAAGACTTCGGTGGGGCTATGTGACTTGAACTTACAAGAAACTCGAGAAACGAGCTAGTGGTTTACTTACGTGACCAAAGTTTCTCGATCCCCAATTACTTCCTACCTTTTGTTCCAATTGAAAAACTTCGATCACACTACATTTATACATGTATATAAGTACAGCAGTATTTTTGTATTTCACTAACTTAAAATTACGTTTCATCCTTTCAAGCATGATCATTTTTAATTATTACTACAAATTTCGATCTTCGATGGACTAAATTATGTCAAAACTGTAATACAACTATTAACTTTCATTATTCAGATTGTATGCAGTTGAACAGATACCAGTAAAATAAAATGGATCGATTTTATCCTCCTCCATGTGTTGTTGTGACTGCTTTGTTCAAATTTGTTAAAGATAATTAGTGAATGAAAAATAATGTGAACAATATCAAGATTGAATCAGTGTTACAGCAAAGGAAATAGATACTAACATATAAGCAAATAAACTTATTAAATGCCAACACAAGATATTTGGTACACATAGATTTTAACTAATAATCAGCAGGTGGTCTGATATATATATATATAGGCTTCAGTAGTATGCCTCGATTTCATTGTGTTCTCTCCAGTCCATTTTGGCTAACTCCATGATTACTCACGTAAGCTTTTATTCCCTCCTCATACGACCTTTTGTAAGTCATCATCAGTCGTTTCCCACTTGGGTTCCATTTGAATGCCTATCGTGTGGTGTCACTCAATGGTTTCTACAGTGTCTGTCCAATCTGTCTCTCTTTCCTTCCGGATTACTGGGTAGTTCCGTGTGTGATGATGCAAAATGTTCAAATTACATATGGTCACACATACACAGGGAGGACTCATTGATCTTTGCAATTAAGGACTTAAGTATGTTCCAAAATAGCTTCAGAAGCGAATGGAATCCCAGAACCCATTGATGGTGAGAACAGACAACCTAGCTCTTCTATTGCAAAACATATTATAGAGACAAGCCATAAAATTGATCCTTAAACGTCTTTTAAACCCATTCTATAAAACGTGCTTCGGGAGTATCCCAAAGTTTGTGGAAGCCCTGGCAATTGAGAAGTTCAAACCACTTTTACGCATTCAAAAACAATTCGTCATAGCACTAAACCTTCCTTGGTAAACTTTGTTTTGATACTAACCAGAGCAGATATACTATTACCTCTGTTATTTGGGTTTAGTGATCTTTATTGTTATTTTTACCTTCCATATGTCCTTTCAAATTCACCTATGTCTATTTTATCATTCCTCAACGCATTGTTTTTTACGTACATATTCCTATGATAAGTCTGTGTGTGTGATCAGATTGTTCGAAATGTGTTGTGCAAACAAATTACATTATTCAGACAAATTGTGTCTTCTTCTGGCTTTGTCGAAGCAAAATCAAAATAACATGAAAAATCTTAGCGAAGGCTACCTGGACCAAGTGTATTTTATATTTATAAAATAAGAATTTTATGTTATTGATAAAATTAACTTACATGAACAGAGCCTTCCGAAGGCGTCTTGTGAAGAGAATGAGTGATTGTGACAGGTCTATGATAAACTGGAGTATCTAGATGCGATGTTTTGGGAGGAAAAACTGATGTTGGAGAGACCATCACCTCAAAACATTCACTGTCAGAGTCATCAAGATTACTTGGTGAATGTGCAGTCTTGTGAGGTGATGAAGTAGCCGGATAATCATCAACTGTATCCGGCTCACCAAAAGTAGGATCATCTGAAATTTCATATAATCACAAAAATAGTCAATAAGCTATCAGGAATACATGGTATTTTCTTTTGAATGCAGTTTACCTAAAGGTGGATTTAGCACGGATCCTAAAAGCTCGAGCTACTTTCGCTGACTTACACCATCTCTGGCGTAGGCGTGACATCCGGCTACCAACCAAGGGAAGTGTGTACTGCTCATCAGTTCGCTCCGTCCTTCTCTATGGCTCTGAAATATGGCCGATACGAGTTGAAGACATGAAAAGGTTGACTGCTTTCGATCATAGATGTCTGCGATCTCTGTCTCACGTTAGGTGGTTTCACAAGGTAAGTAATGTTGACGTTAGGCGTAGAGTGTTGGGCAAACAGGGAAAATCAATCGACGAAGCTATAAAGTTACATGTATTGAGATGGCTAGGTCACGTGCTGCGCATCCCTAACCATCGCCTCCCCCCACCGACGGGCATTACTAACTGATATAGGTGCAGGTTGGAAAAGGGTAAGTGGTGGCCAAACAAAAACATGGCCTCATCAATCCATGAAATCTTTGACAGTTAAACTGAGTGAGTCAGGTAGGCAGATGCAGACTTCCGGGTTGGGGCCCTCGGGACTGACTCTAGGAATCAATGGCTGGAGACAATAGGTGACATGGCTCAAAATCGTTGTCAATGGCCAGCGCAGATGTATTCAGTCTCTGTAATCTTTCATATTCCTTTCTACCATTACCCATTCTGTTGCACTCTTATACTTGTCAGACTGTATTGATTCTCTTCACTCTTCTTGTCTACCTTTGTGTGCTATTTGGAACGTGGCAACTCGAACTGGTGCACTTCGGTGCCAAGTTCTATGTTGAATCCAGACAGACAGAAACATGAATTCGACTGTTAAAACTGTGAAATAAAAAAACACACCTGAAAGCTGCGTTTCGTTATTCCAGAATAAATACATAACTTTCTTATGTTGGTAAAATAAACCACAAAATTACAAACACCTAAATTTTTACAATGGAAATAGGAATCGAATTTCAATCTAGATTTATACTGTTTGTAGCCTTAGAAAAGAATTTTCAAAATAAACTATTTTTTTCAGCATACAAATGATGTCATCTGATTTGAGGAACAAGGAATGCATGCACAGAAGTATATATATATAGATATTGGTCTTATTTTTTGACATATGTAACAAGTGATACTGTATGCTTCTGAATACATACGGGAATAATTGCCAAGATTTGTAAAAGTATCACATGATCTACTTTATCTATGGGAGAGAAAATGAGTTTCTGAACAGCATATTCTAGGTGTATGCATACAGGTATTTCCATGTGTGCTTACAGTCACCTAGAAGAAAGGCATTCCATGTTTTGCAAACTTCATTTATTATTTATGTGGTTAATACCAGTAACTTTTTTCGGATAAGCTGACAGAGTAGAGTCATATAATCCTCAGATTAGATTTTTTTAATGATCAAATAATGTTGAAGCTAAAAAGAGTTTTACAACAATGAGAAGCTAGGTGATAAAATATTCACCAACAGGTACTGTTGCTTAGACTTCTGAATACAAGTAATGTTACATAAAGCTAAGATAACCTGATTAGTCAGTCTGTTATCTTAAGGCTTCAAAAGAAATTGTAATTACTTCACATGTAAGCGATACATTTTCAAACATCTCGATCGCTTACAAAGTTGTATGAAAACAGGGTTAATAATAGCTGTTGTGACTAAAGTATAACCTAACACCTTGAAACCTGAGATTTATGTGATATGAAGATTGATATTTGACCATCCAGCTAAAGTATGTTTCAGTCAAGTTGTTGATTATAGCGAAGAAGTTCTACAGGATAAAATATTTTTTTTAAACAATTCTCCTAACAAACACTTAGATTATGTGTGCTAAATGTTTATGATTAACCAATAAGTCACGTAGTTCGTATCGGTCATGATACAGTGACAAATAATCAAACCTTAGCATAAATCATAATCAGTTAGTTTTGCTTTAGAAAACATAGATCATCCAAAGCGTTGATGAAACAGGAGATGAGACGTCGCAATGTATCTGTTCGTAGAGATAAAACGAACGCCAATAAGATCGTCCATATCAGTAATAATAGCTGCAGCCGTCATGCAAAGATTAGAATTATTAGCACTACCTATAATGGAACCGAAAATCTGGGTACGTTACGCTGATGATTCATCTGTAATAGTCAAAAGAAATGATCTGGAATATATCTACAAATTAATGAACAATATATTTGAAGACAATAAATTCACAAGAGAAGAAGAATTAGACAACAAAATTCCATTCTTAGATGACTTAATCAAGAGAACAAACACAGGAAATGTAGAAACACACACGCAGACCAAATACTTAACTATAATAGCAATAAGCCACTTAATCACAAAAGAAACACTGTGCAGACATTGTTTAAAAGAGTTCAAATACACTGTAGCATTACTCCTGCGTTGAAGATAATGGGGGGAAAATACCTACTAACTGTCTTCAAAAAGAATGGATACCCTGACAATTTCATCAAAAAGTGTTTAAACTCGAGTCATAAAACCAACAACAAGCCAACGTCAAACAACACAAGAAAATTCATCCTACTAGGCATAAGAAATATCTCTGAAATAACAGCTAAAATATTAAGACCGTTTGAAACAGATATATCGTACAAGCCAGCCAGCCCATCACTTCATTAGATATTGTGCAAACCAAGAGATCCAACAGAAAAAGAAGATGAAATCAATACTATTTATAAATAAACTGCATGAACTGGAATAAACATAACACTGGTCAAAGTAGAAATCCCCTTTGAATCCGAATCCAAGAATATAAATTGGCTGTAAAAAGACATAATATATATATATATTCTTTCGTATCAATGCATATGGATAATTATGGGCACCAATTTGATTGGGATAATGTAGAAATTTTAAGTGAAGGAAACATCAAAAATACCAAGAAATTTCTAGAAACCTTTTGCTCAAGTGAATCAACCAGCGATTAACAAACGCATTACTATACACCAAATTTACCAGCTAATAAAAATTAAATCACGTGACAAGAAAGTTCAAAATTACAAGTCAATAAAAATGATCAATAAAGAAGTAAATTAACATCCAGTCACGACATTGGTTGCCAGGAGATACAATTCTATCATTCATGAAGAATTTAAATAAGTTCATTTTATAGTAAAACCTGCGCTGAAGGTGTTATCTAGAAGGACGACGAAAGCTTCCCAATTAAATCAACCAACTCAGAGAACACAATTAATTCATTGTGGATAGGATTTTATTTTGATATTTTGAGTAATATTAACTGATGACGTTTCGAGCACAAATCATGTCGCAATCATATGATTATGAGCAATAATTTGTGCTCGAAACGTCATCAATTAATATTACTTTACAACACTGTGTAATTTATCAAAATAAAATCTTGTCCATAATGGAGTTATATTCTACCATAATGCCCAAGTTTTATAGTTATAACAATTAATTCAGTGTATCCAACGTTTGGTATACAGGTATGAAGCCATGTGGTGGAATGAATCATTAGATAAAGTCATCAAACTCTAATCAGAAGGTCACTGGTTCGAACTCTCCTCCTCCACAGTTCGGATAGCTAAAAAAACTCTCATGCAATACGCTCACCCTATTGATTAGTGCATCAGAGTAGATGTGGTTGTTGAATAACATCACCAATAAAGTTAGACAGTTTTAAAAGAAAACTTCGTTGGGGCTATGTGACTTGAATTTACAAGAAACTCGAGAAACGAGCTAGTGGTTAACTTACGTTGATCGCTTCGGGACATTTCAGTGTATTTCCTGCTTTGGTATCAATAGGATAAAAGAGGATAATCTCTAGCTCAATTCTCAGGTTACAGGATTTGTTACAGGACTTCATCATGAGCTGACATTGGTTAGAGAACCATTGGAAAACCTGCAGGGAGTACTGCCAGACAGCTGTTTTGCCCTAGTTTGGAACTCGTCAGCAGCAAGCACCTGACGCAATGGTTCGAACCCAGGACCTTCTGGTTACAAGGCGAGCTCGTATACCATTAAGCCAATGGGACCCGATCCAATGGCCCATGAATTCTAACTTCTGCCAATTCACGATATAGCGCAACCGCTAGCCAATGTCTTCGGCGAGTATTTGTCCTCACAACCGACCTGCTGCACTCGACTGGTCACGACTACTCACTAGAACCCCAGGTAACTACCTACCTGAATAGGGCCAGTCGCCAGTAACCAATAATTGGATATCAATTAGTTCACAAAACTCCACAAGCGTTAAACAGCTTGAAAAAGGCTAAGTATTTGACAACCACTGATTTCAAAATATCGCTCATGTATCATAACACGGATATAAAATGAGAAATTTTAATTATCACCTAACTGATGAAGTTACAAGCCTACATCAACACACTTTTTCCAGCAGTTCAAGAAAAGCTTCAAATTAAAGTTAGGTTAGGAAGATTCTTGGGATGGATACAGAAAAATACTGACATAATTGTATGAACTCTCCGACTTTCCGTTTGACAATGGGTCGCGGTTTCGAATTCCACTTCAACAAGGCTGAATAGTCAGCACTCTCACAACAAGTGTGACTCACAGTCAGTACAATTTTCTGAATCAGAATTTTTATTTCTGGTCATCCCACATGTACAATTCTGCTCCAGGATTGCAATATATAAAGTGGTACTTGAAACTTGCTCAGTGATACTAGATGCTATGTTGTCAAATTCAACTGACCAAAAGTGGAGCAGTTGTTCATTTGTCTAAGCATTGGACTTCTAACTACCGGGTCATGAGTTCAAACCCACTACACCCGCCGATGTTTGAACACCCAGGTAGTATCACTAGCCCTTACACAATATGTGTAGCTCACTGCCAACTTCATGGACTGACAACTGGTTGCTGAGGAATGGCAGCAGCAGGTGAGGAATCTTTCGCAAATACTGCTGCGTACGATAATTAAGCACTCTGAATATCTGGAAATACTGTGAG